TTTGGGATCTTACAAAGCTTCAAACGATGCGTCGACTATTAAATTAGTCGCCGACGATTTTCATAGTTGACGTAATCGTGACTAGTCGACTAACTGTGGTAGCCCTATTATGGAGTTCCACAAGGTTTCGTGCTGAAACCACTTCTGTTTACATTATGCATGCTTCCCTTAGCCAGTATGATTAGAAGGCATAGCATGCATTTTTCATTGCTATGCAGATGATACCCAGGTATCCATTAATCCAGATCACACACTACTGCTGGGGGCTTCCCATGATGCTTCTTCAATCACCTCTTTTCATTCTGTGTTTATACACCACTGCATTTAATCATTAGTTATTATTGACTGAGTCAGTCACCTGACTTCAACCCAAAATTAAGCATACATTTCTCTTTGAGAAAGAAAAAACTCTAGCAGAAACTTTTAAGAAAAGGAAGCAATCTAACTCAGTTGCAGTAGAGGCCTAGCAAAGCATTTCAAATTTGGTGAGGTCTGTTGGGTTTCAGATCCAGATACTCCACATTCGCACATTTAGCAAGCTTTGGCAAATGTCTTTGTATCAAAAAACAGTTACTATTCCTATGCCCAGTTTGAAATAGATAACTGCTGCTGTGTTCTTGTCCATCTTTGCTTATTGTTATGTTTTCCATCGACACGCCTTCATAGATTCACTTTATCACTCCAGCCTAAGACATCACCAGTGACAGTTACTATATTCATCATATATGCATATTGTATGAAAAAGGTTGGGTGGGCATTGCTAACACTAAAATCTTAGAAGCATTAGTTTTGTTTATAAATCCCTTAATGGCAACTTGTCTCATATATCACGCCCTTATTTAATTGATCCTGCAATCATTAGTTGAGCCCTTCAAGTGCCTTAAGTCTTCAGACATTTTTATTATATTTTAATTATACTTTCAAGATCCTTTGAAATGATGATACTCTGTGTTTTTGGTAGATTTAAATAGGGGTTGAATAAAAGTATTATAAATTAAGAAATTGCTTAAAAAATCCTTAATGAGTAATTCATTTTGTTAAACCTCTGCTTTATTTCCTGATTTCTTAATTTCCAATTCATTGTGTTCATGTACAATGGCAAAGTTGAGTCACTGTCAAAATTATGTCACTGTCTGTGCTGTTTTTAACCTCTATTGGTGTCACATGGTATGTAATTGATACAATATTTATATTTATCATCCCTTGTTAATCTGTTTTCTGTCTCTCAAAGGTTACCCTAATATTGTGGCAACGTATGGTCGCGGATACACTGGATTCGCGCCCAGCTACAGCTACCAGTTCCCTGGTAAGTCAATGCTTTCGTAAAATATTGGCGTTGCAGCCGATTTCTGTTTTGCTCTCTCAAGCAGCACAATCAGACACACTTGCACACGCATACACAAAAGATGGTCAGTGTACACGTCAGTCACCAAATAATCTCCAGGGTTATAAGTGTGCTTCGTGTCTGGATTCCTCAACGAAGTTTTGAAAGCTGACATATAGTGAAGTAAATTGCTTACTCCTTTTTATCCCATACTTGAACACCACCATGACCAAATGTCTAAAATGGGAGAAGTTCTTCGTCTTCAGTGGCCCAATGTATGCAAATTCGTCTGTGGAGAAGCGGAAAAATAAGCATCTCTTTTTGTTGGCAGATTTTTAAAATGTGGTCCTTATAATGGAAAATGAATGAAGTCATTTTCTGCATTAAAAGTGTTGACTCAGAGTGCCGGGCACTTTAATGGGACTCCAAATGGCAGGCGTGCAGTTTGGAGGTGAGCAGCTGTACCTGACTGCTGCAAGAAGGGCCAGTGGCTCTGTGGTGCTTCACTTAGACAGGCATCCTGTCAATTTCATGCTTTATTTAGGGACTTTACACATACTTTGTTTGCCATGCCAGACATCATTCCTTCCACTGATAAGACGGAATGAGAAATATCTGACAGCGGCTCAGATCTCTGTAATATCTTTGTGAAATAGATTCAGAAATGGTTAGACAGGAGGTCCAGCTGTGACCACCTGCAGATCAGATATATGCTAGTTTTATACTTGACCACAACACTGTTCCACAGAAGAAAAAGGAATAGCACCTACTTATTAGTGTGAGTGAATATAAAAAGTATACAAATGAGGTCTTCGTTAAGAGTGACTGATTAGACAAAAAATATTATTTAATTCATATAACTGAATGACTCCAACATTTAAAACAATTGCTTTTGTGTATCTTACATGAATCTTAAATACTACCCTTAAAACCATCCTAGCGTGTGTGTGCTAGGTCAACAAAATGAGAGAAATGGGACTGAACGGTAAAGGAATGATGACTATTTTTTCCTTGTAAATAACTCTAGTTAAACATAGATTTTTAAAATGTTTACTATTTACAACAAATTAGGGAATATCACCTTCCCCGAGGCAGAATGTAAGATCCTGTCCATGTTAAACTCAATTTAAAGAGTTTGATAAAGCTGTATGATTAAAACAACCTCCTCTGGGCTCGTTCAACTCTTGACAGGTAATTGGAAATTTTAATGTATGAATCAAGCGTCTTATCCAAATTAAATAACCTCAGGCCAAATATTGACTAGTGTCCTTCCTTACTAAGATGTGGAAAGCATCCTCAATTTAAGATCAAAGGCTTTTTTTCTCACTGTACACTGCCTTGCTGAAACACTCCTATAAATAAATGGTGCTGGGGCCTCGCAGTCTAGATCCAAGAGGCATAAATTGTGAGCAGCATTTCAAGGCTTTTTTTCTTTTTTTTACCCTCAGTAAACCTCAGGGGTCCACTGTTAAGAGTTAAGAGAAGCAGTAAGGAAATTGTTCAATTGTCAAGAAAAAACAGTGATGAAACATTGATTAGTGAAGAAGCACTGAATTAAGTACAACAACTCAATAAGACAGAAACGGAAAAAAAGACAAATCAAAGCTGACAAGTCTGCAGCTGAAACAAGGTTCAAGTGTACAAAACATAACCTAAAATAGAGCTGAAATATACACAGCCTGAGATGGGGAACAGACAACACTCAGTGCAGTCTGTTCAACTCAAAGCAGACACCTGCTTACTGTTAAACAGTAACTGACACTCCCAATTAATTCCAACATTGATCACAAAGTGCATTCGATATTGATCACATGCACTATGCCTGTGTCTATATTTGTCAGCCGTGACGTGCTTACAGAATAGTTCCATCATAGCATGGGCATCATTACTCTTTAATGCACTTACAAGGATATGCATATTACTGTTACAGATTGCTGATATAAATCAAATTGTACTGTATATGTCAAACATGAGCATGTATCAGAGCACGGCCCCAAAAGGGCAAATTCCAACCTCAAACTGTGGTATTTATTGTTTCTAAGTCCCATTAAGTTCCTGAGCTACAGATGCTTCTCTGGCACAGAAAAAAGTAATGATGTCTAGTTGAGATAAATTGTTATATTTAATGTCAACCATCCAGGTAGGGAAATCCCAAAAAGTTGATTCTGTTCGTCTGGACGTAGTGTTTTCAACTCCAAAGGTTGGACAATTGACTGAAGAAGTCCCTTCGATGAGTGACAAAACTCAAAATGCTACGTCCAGATGAACAGAATCAACTTTTTGGAATGTTATATTTAATATGATAATGAATGTGTCACTTTGGGGATATCCCAGGAAAGCTCTCATGTATGCCACAACTACAGAGAGTGGCGTGATAAATTCATGGCACATCTGCAGACTACAAGATGGATTAATAGAGTTCCTGACAGACTAATGTGACTGTAAAAAGGGCAAAAAGGGAAAAAATTGCAGATCTTGCAGCATCAAAAATGCAAAAAGGCATTTGCAAATGTTTTATGAGGCATAAAATACATTTAGCCTGCAAACAATTCAGCTTGATGAGAAACATCAAATGGAAACAGAAAATTTTTCGGTTATAAAAAAGAGCTAAAGGGTACCTATGGTTCATCAAACATCTGAGGGTTAAAAAAATTAGCTCCAAGTGTCATAATGCTGTTAAACTGATTTACATTCCTTTTATAGTGTGAAATCACAAATTCTGTCACACGTGTCAGATACACATTCAGCTCTGTGGAAGTCCCCCAAAAATAAATCTTTGTTCTAAGCATGTTTGTCCCCTTTTTTTTTTAGCTTTTACAAAAACATTTATACCAATAAAAAAAAGTGAGCAGCGCTTGGTAAATATGCTTTCTCTGATGTTTTTTTGTTGGTTTTACAACTATAACCATTTTTTTCCTGCAATCCTGTAATCACACACTGTTTACCTTGCGGCAGCATAATTTCAACATTATGATTGAACTTCACAATGAACTTAATTTCGGAGACAATGCTGTATACGGGGAGAATAGTGACAATCAAGAAGATAGCGATGTTTGCCTCAGAATTAAAAAGGGTAAGGAGCAACAAAGTGGCCGCATTCCAACTAAAAAAAAAACTGTGTTGTGGTTTTTCAGTTTATAAAAGAATTTCTGTATGGTAGTGAATGCAACTACTCAATTGCTTATTATGTTGAAGCATTATATTCTCCAGCTTGTCTGTTGGATGGGTCAGTCTGATGATGACAATGAAGACTTGGGATATTGATCATTGTCTGATTCCACTGTGAAAAAAAAATTTAACTTTCATATTGTGGGCTTTTATGATGTCAAATTGATGTCAGGCTGTCATATCAGCATAAGAATATGATGTTACCACTTCCTGTTTGGATGTAAACTTGCCTATTTTAAGATGACGAGTCTGAGTGAGATGGCTGTGTTAGATATTTATCCTGAGCTTAAGGTCTGTTTTCAGCTTCACAGAGGTGGCTGCCTTTTTACCTGACTGGGTCCACGCTGTGCAAGTTACAGCAGTGCAAAGTGTGCATTGAATTTTCTCTCGAATTTACACGCTTGCAGTTTGATTTTAAAAAATTCATAAATGTTATTAATTTTTCTGCCAATCCATTTTTTACATTGCTGGAATTATAGTAGTAATATATTGACTCAAGTTAATAAAGGATCAGATAATAACATTAACAATTTTCTGCAGTATTACTCTCTTGTAGTGTAGTGTGGAATTTTGCAATCTCTGATAATATCTCTGATTATGGTAGGCAATGGTCAGCTGAGCTATTTTCAGTTCAATTCAGTTTTATTTATATAGCGCCAGATCACAACAACAGTCGCCTCAAGGCACTCTATATTGTAAGGCAAAGGCGCCACAATTTTGTGCAGTTGTAGGTGACTACACACAGAAACTAAGAAATTAAAGCAGAAAACAAGGGTTACTGAAAAAAGCTGATAACTACATCACAATTAGCAGACGTGTGACCACCTGTCAAGCTCCGGTCAATGGGAAAAAATGACTGGTTACAAGTGGTTACTGGAGCTCACTGGGAAAGTAATGGCTAAAGCCACAGGAGTCCTAGATTACTCCCATTCTTCTGTCTATCCTTCAACCAGAGAAAACGGTCGTAGATTTAAATGAACCACTGTTGAGCTGTAGTGAAACTGCAGAAAGTGCGACAGATATCAGAAATGCAGACTGTTTGCTTTCACAGTAAAACTTGAACCTCTTAAAACATGTTGGCTGCAACTTTGAGACACAACTTGTATTAAGCCTGCTTTAAGTGTATTAAAGCAGGCTTAATACATTTCAGTTTGTATTGCATTTTCTCTAGTTTTGCTACACCTCGGCTAGTGGTTAGTGAATGTTTGCAGGCAAACATGAAAAATTACAGATTGTCATGGACATCTGGTAGTAACCAGCACTAGGTTACTACCAGATGTCCTACAGTACTAAAACCACAGGCCAGTTATTTTCAACAATTGTGTGCACTGTTTCGCACACACAAACTCTCAGTTCAACCAAGTCCACAAACAAAAATATAATAATCTACAATAGCATTTACTTTTACAATGCATGTTGTTTAGTGGGACTTCTGGCATTCCTTGCCTTGAACAATCCTCTTCAAATCTGGCTTGTATTCCGTTGTTGCCACTCGAAGCAATTCTTTCACATGAGTGTCAGTCAGAACAGATCGATGCTTTGATTTCACATGTTTTAGGGTAGAAAACACAGACTCGCAGACGTATGTTGACCCAAACATTGGCAGTATCTTAAGCACAGCCCGTTTGACATTGGGGTATTTTTCCATTGGCACACTTTTCCAGAACTCAATGGTCCTTTCCCTTAAAGCAGGTTTCTATTGGTCCTCCTCACAAAGATCGATCATCTCCAACTCAGCCGCAGCTTCATCTGTGACTAGCGGGACTTTCAAACAGCCGGTCTCTGCATTAAATGGGTCGACGAGGAACGTAATC